TCGATGCAACTGCTGCGCTTGGTGCTTGGGGTTGTTGGAGTCGGAGGTTCCATTTCACCCTTGTTCGCTGGCCCCTCCTTTTTCAAGCACCAAGGAGATCCCGGTTGGGTGGGGGCCGCTCGCAGGGTTGCCATGGATACCTCCTCCTCATGCTAGAGCATTGCCCGGCTCAACCAACTTCGAAGGCACCAACACCCAAGCTCATCTATTGGTGATGAGTTTAAATGTGGCTAAATGTAATTTAGGCAAAGTTAACCTCGAAGCAATGCTGGTCAGCTGTTTCCCCAGCTATATTAGGGGTGGCCCGATGTCGTTAGCAGGGGCACCTCGTGACTAATATACGCAGTTGCTTGCTTGCAGTTCTTCGCAAAGTGTTGTTTCAATTGCTTAATTGATGAAATGAAAACAGAAGAATACTTCAAACTCCAACAGACTGAGTTTCAAAATGCAAACATTGAGTCATGAGTTTTGAGAAACAAGCATTTTTTACATTTATTACTTGAACGGATTTTGAGACACGATTTATTTCTCAAGAAAAAGAAAATCAACCATTCACAAAAACAACAAACAGTACAGCCAAGAGCACTCGCATGTACAAGTGCATATGCAAAGTTCATAAAATAGGGCCACCGAAAGGTTTTTTATCTTAAAGTTTGGAAAATTGACTCAGTATTTTTATATGAAGTCTAACTTTTGAACAATCAAAACTGTTTTTATACTTGTCAAGGTATGTATTTACATGCTTTACACTAGGCAGTGTCAAGGCTACTGCCTAATGGGGGCCTGGTCGCCACAGGCTCCTATAATTTACTTATGGGCGGCCAAAATTTGGAACAAGAAGCCCGAACGGATGCATAAAAATCATGATTCTCAGGCTAACTTCCGTTAAATGAACAACAAAATTCCCTACTCATTCTTCACTTTTGAAACAAAAAAAGAAAACGTTTGGTTGTCAGCCATAAGAAAAAATTTTTCCGCCAATAAAAGGTAAACAAACAAGCACTTGTCTTGCTGCAGTGTAGTTGAAGTTTCTTGTCTGAAAATGGCCTCAAATGAATTTAATAGTCTTAGAAAAACCGCCAATAATAAAATCAAGACCTTTTCCCCACCATTAGAAATGTTAGGTCACTATTGTATGTAGTAAAATGATACAAGGCGTGATGCGTGGAGAAGCAAGAAATTTCATTTACACATGACAAAAAGTATTTTATTTTTAATTTTGCAAGTTTGTAGCGGTTTCTATCTTGCTACGAACATGAATGGTACACTCAGAGGTTTATTTTATCATTTATTCAGCGTTATCTACGTCTCCCTATTTTTTGCAGTATGTTTTGTGAAAACTTTTGAAAGGCTTGCAAAAACATTTCAGTTTTTGAAAATCTTCATGGCGGTTATTCAAGATCATTTAGACATAGACATAGACATAGACACTTTGTTAATCCTTTACAGGGTAATTTGTTGTATTGCGCTGCTCGTTTTGCAACCTTAAACGGATTTTGGGTTTTTCTGTTCCGACAATCATTTTGGCAAAGGCGAGGTTAATGCAAATCACAATGTAACACGTTCGCCCAGCTTGGCTGAGAATGACTCTGACTGCTCAAGAATAACGAAGGAAATCGCAATGGTGAGTGGATTTTCTGTCGAAGGAAAAAGGCAGACATTGCTTTATTCTTGCAAGTGACAAGAATGAGAAAGATCATAAAAATCTGTGAAGCAAACTTAACTAGTCGATTATTGCCCAAAACAGGACGTCCTGTCACAAAGCAACAAGCCTTGTAGCAGGAAACAAACAAAACAGATGGAGATCCACCAATCTGCAAGTAAACTTGTATTTCCTAAGAGGTCCGCTTAGATAATTGAGGGAACACAAAAACCCAAAATATGCAAAATGAACAGCGGGATACAACAAATTTCGCTATAAGTCCAAATAGTGACCAACATAAATTTTCTCCTAACGATATCCATGCATCATCAAAAGAAAAGTTTATGAGAATTACACCTTTTGCTGTTTATTACGAGAAAATATCCATTCGTTTGCATGAAACAGCAATCAATAGCGCAAAGATCCATTCATTAGAGTGAAAAAAAGGAACATTTGCACATAAATCATATTCAATTACAATTTTTCATAATTAATCAACATTTAATAAACTGCTCTATTTTCCTTTTCCTTTCCTTTAGTGCAGGTAAGTGTCTAGAGCTACAATCGGCGACAAAATTACAATGTATCTGAGACACTTTGCCCTAAAGGTGATGCTTTACTGACTTCTAAACAGGAAATAAAGCTTTCCCTCCCCCATCCCCTCCATGCAATGTTGTGCCGCTGTTCAAGCTACCTATAGAACTGCAACTTTGAATGAAGGGGAGTGGGGAGG